AAAAACTCTATAATTCTTTATTAACATTTCTATTTTACCAGGATTTAAATATGTATGTATGCTAGGAAACGATTTAATTTTGTTAATAATAATTTTAATTTATCAAGATTACCAATATTTATTAGGCTACGCTGTTACTTCAGTCATTATTCAAAATGCCAGAGCATTGGGTATTAATCACTTAATCCATAACAAATACAGGAAATATACTGTTTAATAGTGGTAGTTTATGTTGTGTTGTTTTAACTTACAATTAGTATTTAGAATATAATAATAACATATAATGTACAGTATAGAACCAGTATAGGAAAGAAATATGAGTTAATTTTTGAATTTGAGGATCAAAGGAAACTAAGAAGTATCTTTGATATTCTATTGCATACAGATTAGCTCGGCCAAGCAGGAAAGGCTACAATTTTATTGCAAGCAAAGTTAGAAAAATATTGTATAAGAAAATTTTATTCGATTTTATGTAGTTTGTCATTTTATGAGTTGTTTTCATAAGAACACCTGTTTTCTGAAGGACATTATAGCTTTTTTTACATACATCGATTTCTTAATCGTTAGTCACATAAATGGTATAAGGTGAAGTCATTAGGTACTCATTCGATTACAATATTTATCAGACTACCTTTTATAATAGGCACACTTCGTGCTAACGTTTATTCATAGCGTCAGTAATATGTTTGTTAATAGGTACTATTATTATCGCAGCTTTCATTAGAACTTACATACGAAATATTGAAGTCCTCTCAAACTATTATATTTTTCAATTATTATTAATATTCGGTATTATACATTTACCTATATGAAAAGTCGATAACAAAATAGATTTGCGTAAGAAAAATTGTGTAATGACATTCAAAAATGTTTTCCTACATTGCAAATTTTCCAATTCATGAACAAAAACAATAAAATTATTTTTTATCTTTTTCCAATCTTACATATAACTACAATTAACTGTATCTTACTCAAATAATTAATGATAATTGATAATTAAGAATTAATGGCCAAATTAATTTTGCTTTTACTTTTTAAATCTTTAACAAACAATATAAGTTCTCTGTACTTATTTTTACAATATGGTGAACACTTTGTAGAATCAAAGTAAATAAATCGCCATAAATTCTATAGAATTAGAACAATACAGTTTCTGTCCATCAATAAATCCACAAATGATGTACTTTCTATAAATCTAGTGCAAAGTATAGTTAAGGAGAATGTATTTAAACACTATATAGCTTTTATCTTCTAAATTAAAAGTTTCAATCCACGAACTTATAGTCATTGACAGACAATTAAAAACTACTTTGATTAGCTTACAGTTTTAAAAAATGCTGAATTATCTCGAAGGAGTTATAAATAACATGCAACTCTTTGTAAGAACAAAAATTAACTGTTCATGATAGGTGAATACTTTTTTCTCTGTACTATAACAATTATCATTAAATTTAAAAGTCTATTATTGTAAAACGCTGAATGCTTTCTTTTATTCTTCAAAATATTATTCAATTATGACTTAATACTTACTATTATTGTTAGTGGAAAATGATATTTTCAGCAATTTTGTCGATATTTTATGGACACCGTTGCAACGGGTATTGCCCGTGGGATTCCTGGCTAAACCGACGTAAAACGATGTCTATGCACGTTGATATCGATCGATACAGCGTTTACGAAGTCTGACATAACACGATACACAAAACAAAAAAAAAGGAAACAATGGCCCGACAGAATCTACTGTTTCAATTCGTACCAGTTTGATCGGGGCATATTAGGGATTATCGGATCAGAAACATGATTTGAAAAGTCGTAAAATCTATCTGAGTGGACCATAAATAAACAACATTACACGATCGCGCGAAATACTTCTTCTTTACTTTACGACCATGCACATTTTATTGGCTCGGAACGACGTAAAATATTGGGAATATCTGGATATAATATACAGGGTGTACACAGTTTAACCCTTTGCACTCAAAAGACAACCCGCAGTCGCCATTTGGTTTAATATAGCATAATTAGAAAGTTCAATATTCAATACTCAAACAATTCAATACTCAAACAGTTCAATACTCAAGAAATTTTGTACGATGTACACTGTCGGTCGAAAGTTTGACACGAATACATCGGTTAAAAGAAAAACTTCTTTTCTTGTAAACAACTTTTATTGGAAAATTTTTGTATATGATAAAGGAACATAGACATATGTGTTTTAATGAAACATAAAGATACACCATTTTTGTTATTTTATTTTATATATTTATAAGATGTAAGTATAATTCTTAATTTATGACGTCACATATCAAGTGGTTCCAAGCTTTTGACCGGCAGTGTAGTTATACATAAAATGTCGAAATGAAATAGTTCTATCCCTTAATTCGTATATTATTTATATTTATGTTTATTGCAACAAAATGTTATCGATATTTTATTAGAAAATATTCTTGAAACGGTTCAAACTTCGCCAGTGTGTTATAGAAGTAAGGAAAGAATGTTATATACATACAGGTTCTTAAATGCTTTATAAAAGAGTCGTAACAAAAATATATAATCGATAAATTTGATATTATGTAACAACTAAACACTAACAGAAAGGCCTACGTACAGAATTAACAGTTTGGAATCGACACAAACTTGCTAGCTGAAAACCAGTAAACATTGTTAGTAAAAGCAGATTAAGCATTATCTGCTTAAGCAAATGTTATAACACTGCAATGTAGTAATTACGAACTTGTTGCTAGTAATGTAACAACATGTGGATTCTATACATTCGTTATAACTTCTTTTTTAAACATTTGAGAATCTATATTACCATTTTTTTCTTATTTTTATTGATAGAGTACATTGGCTACGTTTGGTTATTCAAATCGTGGGCACCTTGCATTTTCCTGATAATTGGAACAATATTTCTCTAGTCTACAAGGATGTAAGCTGATGGTTATTAAACTGTAAACGTTATGCTTCTGTTCTTGATTACCTAAGTACCTATAACAATTTTATGACAAGCTTAACAGAGGATGTATTATTAATGATTGTACAAGCCAAAGGATAGTGATTAACTGTGGAAAAATAAATCGAGAATGTGGAAAATATTTCCTTTAAAAACTTTGTTTTTAAGAATTATGTTATACACATGCATTCATGCTTACGTAAGAATATAAATTCGAAGTTACATGTTTATACATTTAAATTTTTTATGTTTATTCCAGTTTATTACATTCGTATATGTATTGGGATACATTTTGATCGCAAATGAAATATTTGTTACCTGAATATTGTCTTTCAGTGCATTATATACGCTGACTAAATTTTTGTCTTTATGTTTTACAAGATGCTGTTTAGAATAACATAAAATTTAGTATCAGGGACATTATAAAAAATATAACTGTCAGAAGATGAGGACAACTTTTCATCCACCCCCCAATATCATATTATTAACATATTACGCTGTGTGAAGTTTTGGTGAATTCTATGCATACGTAAACACAGTTCATTTCCATAGAGTACAAATTATTCATAGTATATGATGTGATTTGTTAATGTTTAAAATCAAGTTAATAATATTGATAATTTTACAGAATAATTACATCAAAGCATGCTTGAATATTGTTCTACTGCAAAAGTCATTTTCATAGAATAAAATATTAACAATTACATACAATAAATATATTGAATTAGTAGAGGAATTAATTACTGAATTAAGAAATAATTTCACGGAATTTATTACTTGATTCTAACATACAAAAATATCCACTGAATAATTTTAGTATAGGAAAAATAACTTTACAAAGAATCATTTCTTTAGTGATTAAGAATATTGATTAAGTGATATAAATTTTAAGAAATGGATTTATGAGAACCTGAATAAGAAAATACTTTAGAATCATATCAATTGTTTCATTGAATAAATTAACGTGTAATTATTTAAAAATTACTTTCGATTAACTAAAATACAATTAATTTAAAAATGCCTTTGCTAAATTAATTTCTTTCTCAGTATATTTCTATTAAGTATCACGTTTCCAGAAACTCAACACCCAGAGCAGAAATTTCTTACATTTATGAGCAAATAATTTAACGCGATAAAACCGTCTCTTCACTCTTACAAAAGTTTCCGACAAAAGAAACAAATCCCCCTACTACATATCCTCCTATGAAAATCTAAATTTCCATAAATCTCTACAAATGAAGAGTCCGATACAAAAAGAAGTCATGCTACAATAGTAACATTTTGAAATACTAAGGCTTTTACACAAATCTGTGTTTCAATACAAATTTCATAAATAAGACTGCTACTTTTTTATTTAAACGTAATAATATTATGATAAGGTACCTAGAACAATCTCTTATTTTCTATATACTTAAATATGAAAATTAAATTAAAAATGTAATTATGTAATAAATATAAAAGCATATTACTTGGAAAATCGGATTGTTACATTGAAACGTATTTGAAAATTCTAAAAGTTTTTCGAATTAACAAAACTATTTCGTAAATTTCATTCTTACATACGTTCTTTGTCACTATCTACTCATCGTCTATATTTAATTTTGTTGTAAACATTATGGTATATAAATGAAATGAAGAACAATTTAAATAAACTGAAATAAATAAATAAACTTAAACATAAACTGAATTGATAGCTCTCAGTTTTGTAGCTGACGCTGGACAAAAATAACGTGTGTCATACCTCTCTCCTGCCCGGACATCATAACAAGTAAGGAGTACAACCACTAACATACACAAGCAACGATACACGCAAACATGTTGCCATGTAACTTTAAATTAGAAGATAATAACTAGACATCAAGAGATATCGAAACGAATGTACATCGCCTTCCTCCTCATTTTCTAGCTTAGCTCCCCCTTACACTGGGCCCCTCAATTCACAAATCACACTCAGTCCAAAACTCCACTCGCCCCGGAAGATCACAGAAGTCTCCCCACAGAAAAAGAAGCAGAAGAAGAGTGACGGAAAGCATAAAAGCAAACTCACCCTCGATCGTAGTCGATTCCGGCAGGTCGGTCTGTCCCAACGCGAGTTGATCGTTGATGATCAACCATGAGACGAACACCGCGCAGATGAATCTCATCCCGGAGTTGGTCCTCTTCGGGGCGTAGGTGGAGGGCGACGCGAGGCACGTCGCCGCGAGGACGGCGTCGGTGGCGTGCATCTTCACGGCTGGCCCTGACACGCGGCACTTCTCGCGCACCTTTCTTGCTCTCCCTCAGCGGCGCCCCTCAATACGCATACGTGACTACGCACCGTCGTACACCTGCACGCAGGTCAAGCCTGCCCGACCTGCTTCCGGTATCACATATCCGAACGATCAGGCCGCGTGATCGATATCACGCGCATATTCCCAGCACGTTCCTCAGCACCGTTCACGCAGCGACCACCGAATAAAGTCCCACACCTCTAAACCCGTGTCCTCTTCGACCTCCTTTAGCGCTTGGTTCAGATTTGGTGGGGGATAGAAAGCGGAAGGTTCATGAGAGACGATCGACCTGTTCTGCGGCAACCACCACCCCTTCCTCTCTTCCTCTCTTTGTCACCGTTTCTCCCTCTCACCTCTTTCTCACTACTCAGCCAGTAAATTCACGTGACGAAAGAGGATCGAATCCTTGATTACTCCTCTGCCCCCGAGGAACGACTAAACAACGCGGTGGATCTTCAGGTGCAGGTTGACGATCAACGTCCCTCAGTAAAGAGGTCGGTAGTGGTAGCCCGTATGACGCAACGTACGCATCTATTTGTTCCGTCCGCGAGGGTTGGTCCGCTTGTAGCGTTCATGGAACGGCTATGCCGACAGCGAGACCGAGCGACGCACCGTCCACGATACTGTGTACACGGCGGCCGAACGAACGTTCACGATGTGGAGCCAGCAAACAACGACCGAATCGCTTCGGGGGTGGCCGCGGCGCCGAGGCGCCGACGTCCTGCGCAATACACGCGAGAACCAGCACGCGTTGCACTCCCGACCGCCTCTCGTCGACCCCCCCGCATTCAACCGTCGCAGGGGCGCAGAGCTTCTGAGTCATTCCTCGCCGAACACCCGTCGATGTTCCGCACCGCGACGTAAATATGCATGATCCTATGCGAGGAACAACGTTGTCGCGCCGTACCCCCTACCCCCGACCCAAAGAACCCACCCTGCCCGTCTTATAGCCCGCGGTTGCGACTCGAAGTGCTTACCAACCCTCGCACGACGATGCCAACCCTTGAATCAACCGGCCTATTCGGAGACGCGGAGGAGTGAATGTGAATCGCGATCGGCTGGCCGCGCTCGAAGAATATTTTAACACTAGAAACACCGAGAGGAAGGTTCTTCGAACCCGATCGAAAATTTGAGAACATATATATCTCTCGTTTGTAAAATATTTCGTGAAACTGTTTGGTGATGTTTGTATCTTTCTTAGTACACTATTTCCACTGACGGTGTCAAATGATACCCTTTGAAATTTAAAATTAAAATTATTTTCTCAACTTAATTATTTTTCCTCAATTGAATTTTGGACATTTTCTATAATTAGTTTTATAACCGTTATTGGAAAAGTCGAAAAGTCGAATAACAAGTGAAAAATAAATACAGAAATTAACTGTAATTTGTTTAAACCAAAGCAATACTGTATCAGATGCAAAATATATATTAAAAGTGTATTAAAAAGTTAATGCACACGAATCTTTTTTTTATCACTTTTCTCCTTACGTGCGAAACTTTACTTTTGAGACATTTATATTTGAGAGATACATATATTTCGATGAAAAGTATAATAGACTCAAATGGGCTTTGCTAACCCCTCCCCTTGGTTTTTTTAGGATTAACCCTTTACAATCCGGCTACCATTATGGCCAACGAAGCAAGTAAAGGCGGTCTACTTCAATTTTTAGCACTGTTGTCGACACATTATCTTCTTTTATTTTACCAAAAAAAGGAAAGTATAGCTAACACTGTACATCTTCTTGTATTACTGTTTTATTAATAAAAAATGATTTTTTAAGAACTGATGTATTCTTTCCGAAATATTGTCATTTACTATCAAAATGTGTCATTAAGGGTAGTCGATAAAACTATTGATGAAAAATTTATCATGCTTGTTATTTAGGAAAAAGATGAATGTCATATTTTATGGGTTACTCTCGTATTAGCGTTCAAGGCACGTGCACGTTGATTTGTTCTGTAATGTATAATTAAATATATATTGCGGTATTGTACTATATGGTTTTTGTAATTGAACAAGATCCCGGACAAACCTGGAATTTAAAAAATATCACCCAAAAATCCCTGGACTAAACTATCTACAGGTACCAAACGTGCAGGAAGCACAAGAGGTTTATCATCTAGGGATGACATCGCTACAGAGTACTAACTCTAATACCCGTCTACCCCTTTTTATTATTTAATTATCATTTATATTCTGTTTGAGAAGGTAGATACTGCGAGGTGGTGATCAGAAAAAAAGAGAAATAAAAACTGCGATATTAAAGATAGAGATAAGTTACTGAATAGATAAGAGTAAGTAAAAAAATTTGAGTAATATAAACAGCTGAATTAGATTAGTGATAACGGTTAAATAATATAATTGTAGATTTTTGTGTACAAAAGTGAGAGTGGAGTTATGAATAACGAAATGAAAGGAATTATAAGCCAAAATCCTCTTGTATTTCTAGGTTGACGAGGCCGAAATAATCGTTTACCTATTCTACTTTCTAAACGTACAGATAGCTATGAGAACGTACAAAAAAATTTAAATTATCAACACATCATAATAACATTCGTAACAGAGAAAGAAGGATTCCAACAAAATTGAAAGAAACCGGAAATTGAACGTCGTCCCTTGAGAATTAAATGAAAACCGCGCACGTGGGACGCGGACGAGACGGAGAGGTTACTTTTGTGAAGCGCAATTCGATCCTGCGATCGGTGCTTGCATTGTTTTCGCTGAATTTCAATGAGTTGGTTAATGGAAAATCGGAAACATAAACTACCAAAGGCGGACATTTAGCACCTACCTCTAAAGAAATAATTTTGTTAACTAAATTTTATTGACTAAATAATAAATGAATAAGTTACATAAGCACCTTTTCTCCGAAGAAAACATTTCGTCAATCATTTTAAGTAAAATATATATAGAATATATTTGTTGGATATTTTTCAGATGGCAATTCCCATTTCTTACAGTTAATGCTGTTTTACATTGGCATTCAGTGTACTGAGAAATACAACCTTATTAATTTAGAAGTCGCAGCATTAAATTACACTGTAGTAAAGTAAATGTTGAAAAACATGAAATTAACTGATAGTTAATTGTTTTTAGAATTTTAGTGACATGATTATTAGTGAAAAAATTAAAGCATGATAAACAACTAACAAAATAAGCTACAATCACAGTTATTTTTCATATTTATGTTAGTCTATTATAACTTTCATCTTTTGTAAAATATGCAATTATTAGCTTCTAATTTTCTAGAATATGAATTTTATCTTACAAATATTTACTCCATGAATTCCATTTACTGATGTCATCTTTTTTCATTTATTGTACTATCTAATATGAATTTTGGTATGCAATACCAAACTAGGTTTACCTCGTAGATATTCCTGTAAAAAATTTAATTTTGGAAAAGAAATTTTAATTTAAATAATCATTTTTATATTAATTATGAACACTATAAATAAACTGTTTGTAAGGAATGATTCTTCTAACTAATGTAATATATATTTTTATACCATTATAAACATTTAAACACGTTTCTTTGAGATTTTGACACGATTTCTATCAAATTAATAAGCATAACAAAGAAACGAACTAATATGATTACATATATGAAACAGCTGTGTAGCACTGAATGGAACGTAAGTACAATGTTCATTGGTGTTGAGAATCACTAGCGGAATCTGGTGTTTCACAGCACGATTATTTTATTTTCTCGCACGAAAACAGAAAGAAGCAAAACTTTCTTTAATGGTCCTTGTACTAACAATAAGAATATAGATACTTTACCGTATGGTATCTATACTAGGATTTTATTTCAGGTCTTTAGTTTCCAAAATAAACTGAAAAATACTCAAAAAAATTGGTGCATTGCGGATGTCTCGCATAACTTTGAAGTTTGTTTAAACATGTTTAAATACTGATAAGGCTATAGAATAAAAATATACGTATTAATATATTTGACAAAGCCTCCAGAATCATTTTTTACAAATATACGTTTTGTCCTTAACGATCAAACAATTTTTAAAATTGCAAAATTCCATTTTTTATTCAAAAAATTAAATTTTTTTAAAATTACAAATGATAAATAATAGACTAATTTCCAGATTCACATAAAAACAATTTGTTATAACTTTTGCAAATACTTTTTTACTTGGTTCTTTTATTAATATTATTTCGCAAATAAATAATTATTTATTTTTATTTTTTAAAATAACTGAGCTCGTACTACGAAATAATTTTGGTACCTGGCTAAAATTCGTCTACTTTTAGTAATATGCTTATGCTATTGCTGGTTTATATACAGTTTATGTATTAAAAGCATATTATACTAATTATGCAAATATTATTTTTATATTTATCTGGAGATAAATCATTTTTCTCAATTTGTTAGATTTGTTATTTCCAGCCCATAAAATAGACACTAAATATTGCAGAATAATGATAAATATTATTCAAACATCATGCGTTCTTGTTTGCCATAAAACAAATGGAAAATTTAATAAAAAATAATGGGCTATTCATTAATACGCATACAAAGTATGACAACTCTTAAATTAACTATCTTTCCGCCATTAATATAAATGTTATGTCCATTTTTATTTAGAAATTCACATGAACATCGCTCCAAACTCTTTATTTAATTTAAAATCGGTAATGTCACCGTCGAAACATTTTTATCCACCATGTAGTTTAGCAAAGAAGTCCACTCAAACATTTCCCAATATGTCACTGGCCCCTGAAATATCGATTAATCATTATCCGATAGCGAGAGAACGGGTGCACAGATAAACCATTGATACCTGTCGATTGAACCTGACGACGAAGGATCAAAAATTTGTTTTCAGTTATTATGGAAATGTATCTGTATCCTGTCTTTGATTGTATATCTTTCCAGTAAAAATATTACTGCTATAGATAATTTCCTGTTGAACTTTCATCCTTTGATTTAACAGTCGAAAAAGTTATGTCTCGTTAAATACTGTTTTTCTATTAAAGATTATGATCCAATTAATATTGAATTAACAGTATGTTTGTAATATAAGTAACATACATTTTCGAGGAATAAAGTAGAATTTTAAAGAACCATATAGAGCACATTACAACTAATAAATCTTTTCAATCAATTATATACTCATTATCCCTGAAAGACTACTAAAA